AAAACTGTTAAAAATGAGTTCCTATATCTGTCTCAAGTAGAAGTGTAGAACTGCTTCTTGGCACTTAGTCTTTGCGCAAGGAGGTAGGGCGTGATTGGTCAATTACTACGAGAATGAAGTATGCATTTTTTCGATTGGTAGTGCTTTTTTCTTTCAATGGTACCATGGTAGTAGCATCACATTCATGTATGGAGAGGGTGTTACAGGTGGCGCTCTGGTTTCTGAGGAGAACAAGGAGAAGTTCTTCTTCTGTAATTTTCTTTGTATGAAACGAGCATATTCATGATATCTTTGTATTGTTTTCTATGCATGGAAACGTCCTTAGTAATGTTTTTTAAATAGATTGAAGAGTATATTCTATAAATAGTTCTTTATAACATGTAGTTTTTCATATATACTCCTAAATTCTGAGATATTATGTTTGTGGTTCTCTATATATGAGAACTATTCTATGATATTGTTACGGATAGTTAATTATAATATTTTAATTAGTTATATTATTATTTAGTAGTTATTTATTATTATTTAGTGATGGTCTAGGGTTTTAGTATGGGCCGAGCCCATTAGGTCAATTAGGTTATCTCCATTCTTTATATATTGTAATCCTTTTTATTATTATTCAATCAATCAATAATCAAGAATTCTCTTCTCTGGAGTCTGGAAACGCTCGAAGTTTTCCATTTGGAGCTTGAAGACGCTCGAAGTTCTTCTTATCCCGATACTTTATCGTATCAGATATATAGTCCACAAAGGACTGATTATGGAGTTGTTCTCAAATATAGAGGACCACAAATATAATATCTTAGACTTGAGGACTATAAGTGGTAAACCCTTGGACTATCTATAGAATTTACTCTAAATTGAAATCAAAGTATGTACCTATTTTTGTAAGGTGTAAGCAATTTTAAATTTTTACAGAATAATGCAATTTATTTTACCACTTTTGTGATCTCTTCATCCTTCCATCACTTAATGAGAATCAACAATGCAGCTAAAGATGCATCTTCTATTGATAGCATACTTAACTGCAGCCTTGAAGAACTTCCCCACTTGCAAGATGATCCTGAAGCCTATTTACACCTCCCAATTGTGGTAAGTCACATGATACAGAATATTTCACAAGTACCACAATTATTATTTGCGTAAATCAGCAAATTTCCATGTGTATCCTCATTGCTAGCATTCACCTCTTTTGTGAGAAACAGGGCTGTAAGTTTGACCGCTTCTCTGTGTCAAGAAATCTTCCTTTGGCTATCAACTTTGCCAATAATAACTTAAGGAAAGGGAAGAAACTCCTTGTGTGCTGTGCAAATGGTAAGTCGTTGCTTATCCCAAGTTGACCGCTATATATTTTTAGTGACTTGTGTGTTTTTCTTTTAGGAGAAGATATAAGCATATCTGTTTGCCTGGGGATATTGCTGGCATTATTTGATGACAGAGGTCTTTGTACTCTGCTATATTATCATGTCTACCATAATACTAATGTCTTTTGCATCGAAATTTAGTTTTAAGCAGGCTTAGTTCCATTTTTTTATAGGATGCTATGATGAAAGGATATCCTTAAAGCAGAAAAATATCACCAAGCTAGAATTGCGACAAAGGCTGGTCTTTATTTGCAAATTTGCGGTGAATGCTCGCCCGTCCAGGGGAAATCTGAAGCAAGTCTTCAACTACATTAACAGCAGCAGGAACACTGGGTGTGGTCTTAAACCCACAGCTGAACAAAATGGGGAGTCAAACGTGATTGAGGTGCCAAGCATTTCGGGTTAATGATTTTCCTTTTAATATGAATGGTATGAGAATATTGAATGAATCTCTAGGGTATTTTGGACAATTTATCATGCTACATATTTTTTGTATTGAATATGGAAAGTGAATAACTAATTTGGACTAATTAAAAATAACAGGGTCAACTAAATCTGGACAGAGGGCGTAACAAATTCAACTCACTATATGGGTTAGTTTGATTGGCTCCATTAAAAAAAAAGACTTCGTATTTCCTTTTTGGAACGTCTTAAAAAAATATTATATTTCTTTTTCTGAAAAATTTGAGTGTCTCACAATCATCTCTCCTCTAAGTCACTTTTAACTACACATTCTCACTTTCTTTAAATTTTGTGTTAAGTCAAACACAAGTAGGTAGACATGTTAGACGTTGTGCAATTCGCAAAGGCAAGGAGTGGTAATGGGTAGATCCAAGTTCAATTCCCAGCAATTATGTTGGGAGATAATTATGTTAAGCATATGGTTTCTGCAAGTACTAGATGTATGATCCATTCTTTACAATTAATCTGTGATCAAAGTTTATTTTACTTCCTCTCAGTAACTATTCGGCTAGATCTGAGGGGATCCTCGGTAGTGGGGTTAATCCTTTTTGTGTTATGTCAAACCAAAAATCGTTATTTTTTCGAGAATGTTTGCATTTTTGACCTTTCAATTGTTTTAATATAAAATGTATATCCCTTCATCCCATTTTGAATACAATATCATTTTTCCTTATTTGTGTATGTCCGATTATGTTTTTTTCTCCATCACTCACACTCATAGATCTTGCCATTATGCATTGGGCGAATCAAGTTGGGTCCAAATTTTCAAGAATGCTTCTATAGTGTACTTTGGGTGCATACTATTTTTGAAGATCCTTTCACATAAAAAATCTTATTTTTTAAATTTTTTTATTAAAATAAATAGATGCTTAATTATGTAGTAAAGAAATACATATTTTATTCATATGTAAGTTTATGATAGATCTTAAGACCACCATAGGATTTGCCAATTTTCAAATTTGAAAACGGTTTGGTCTGGGACGGGTCTATCAGGTTTTGTCCGATTACCATTTTTAAATTTTTAGGGGCACCGGCCTGGACGGTTTTTTTGTAGTTGATATTTAATCCCCAAGCCCAATTGCCCAATTCTCCAATAGCCCTTTCTACTTTTTTATGGTTACGCCGAATCGCCGATTAAGGTTTGGTTGGACGAGCTAGATAAAAAAAAGCAAACAGAAAAACCAAAAATGAATGTAAAAAAATGAAACCGATCCGTAGTGTTTGGTTTTCATTTTGATTTTCACTCTTGAAAATTGAATTGAATCAAAAAAGTCGGACTTTCTTACTTTATTTTCTGTGTATGAGCATGTGGTAATGCAAATAACGAATCTTTCCATTAAATATTAAAGCTATTTTGCCTTAACTACTGAACATTTTAATTATATTATAAATTTAAAAAAACAAAGAATATAAACACCAATAACTAATCCTAAGCAAATTTTATGGCGGATTTAAGATCACAATGAACTAACACATGAGCAAATTAATCATTTTTTATTACTCAGATGAGCATTTATTTTATTAAATAAAAAATAAAAAAATATTTTTTATGTGAGAAGGTCTACAAAAATGATATGCACCAAGGTGCTCCATAGAAGCACTCTTAATCCTAAATGGAGTTATATTAACATTAAAAATTGATACGAGTATTTTACATAGTTGCATGAAAAATTGTGATGGATAATGAGCATGAAAGTATTTTACCAAAAATGCAAATACTTCACAATTAATGTTTACATATGAAGACTTTGAGAATATTTTGAATCTCCCAAATGTTTATTGGGCACTCGACATCCTCTCACTTGGGGGTGTGCGTTTAATTTTTTGAACTCTATTTTTAGAATGTTTTTTTCCAATCGAATTTAATTCAAGTTGTGGTAAAAATGTGAGTGTGTAACTTGTAGACTTGTAGTTCGAATGTTTTATGGCCAAAGTTTTTAAGGTCCACACTTTAGTTGAACAATTTGTTTAGAGTAATCATTTATAGAATAGACACTAATAATATTAAAATATTTTACTCCGTAGTTGGTTCTTAAAAAATTGAAATTATTTCAACTTTTTCATATTTATAAGTATTTAAAGTTATTTTACACAAAAACGTTTTTCAATTTTTTCTTACAACATACTTTACGTTTTATATAAAAAAAACATTTTAAAATTTTGGGAAAAAAAACCCGAAACCAAAATGTAAAAAAGCAAGCTGATAAACCAACTATTCACATATATTTTCGTAAAATCAAATTGAAGCGTTTGATTTTAAAAAGTAAAAATCGAATGGAAAAAATCAAAGCCCTACCATCTTTTAATATACAAAGACAAAGGGGAAAGATGATTAGTGATTTTTTCCCACCTAAAGTTTCAGGTAGAAGAGTGGGTCCGAAATCGTGTTTGATAGGGTATGGATAACTTTGGTTTAAAAAATAAAATGGACTAGTCTTTGGGAGGCTATGAGAACATCATTACTTTTGCGTTGGGATGTGTGTTTAGGAATCGTCATTAAATGGATAACTTTATGGAATATTGTGAATAAACAATGACCATTGTATTGGGAGGTGTGTGTAGGCGCCTAGAATAATAAATAGGTAATTTTATGAGATATTGTGAATATATAATGACCATTGTAATGGGGTGTGTGTAGGTAGCTAGAGTAGGGTTCATTTCTTTTCCAAGAATTTACTTTATAAAACAACCTTTCACCCATCCTAACTCACTACCAATTGCATTAAGCTTTTACATTTTTTCTCTTTCCTGTTCTTTTTCGAAAGGGCATCCAGAAAAGGTTTAGCCGATTTATCGACAAAGATTGATGACCTCGAGAAGGGAATGAAACACAATTGCCATCCACGCCCGAGTAGTTCGTGTGTACCAGGTTACTATTTTTTAAAAGATCCAGATAATCAAAAGAGGTTGTCTTTCACGCTAATCGGGCGAGTTTAATTATTGTATGCATTTTAAGTATTTCAGCTAGGGCTATAAATGGATAACCGAAAATCCGATTATCGTCCGCATCCTTATTTTCTTAATTGAATAAAAATCCGCATTCATTTTAAACGGATATTATCCATGTCTGATCAAGCACATCCGATTGATAAACGGATGCAGATTTGGTAGTTATACATTCGATCCGTTTAAAATCGTTCCGTGTATACATTCGTTTATATATCTGCATATCCGATTATTCGATCCATTATAGCGAACGAATATAGGTAATAAAAAATTATCCGTAGTTAAAAAAAAATTATCCGTAGTTTAGAGTAATTAATATTTTTATGTATACTCTTAGTTTTCTAATTTCTACCCAGCCCACTAAGCCCTAAATGGCCCAAGACCAAATCTTGATTCTTTGATTATGGACCAGGATCAGCGACCAACCGACCCAGCGGCCAGCGTCTTCCTCGGCGATTTTCCGGATCCAGCGACGAGCGGGCAGCGACCACTGACCAGCGTCTTCCTCAGCGAGTCTGCGGCCTCAGCTCAGCGCCTCATCTTCTACATTCTTAAGCGCATCACCTCAATCCTTAGCATCACCATCTACTCTCTTCTTTCATTTTAGGTACGAACTCTCAATTTTCCTTTTATTTTTACCTTTTATTTTAGAATCAACGCCTCAATGAAAATCGCCACTATGAAAAATAAATTGCCACTGTTTTTGTACTCGAATTGTTTATTTGATTTTAAAATCAGCGCCACTATGAAAAAAAGAAATCGCCACTGCTGTTGTACTCCAATTGTTCCTTTGATTTTTTTCTTTTTTTTTTTGTTACTGAATTCGAATTTGAAAAATTAAATGCATTTCGTTTGACGGTTTTCTTTGGAAATGCATTCGAATTTGACTGTTTTTTGTTCAGAAACTTGGTTAAGGATTTAAAGTTTTTGGTTGTGCTTGGTTGATTTTAGATTTTCAGATTACATATTCGGATATTTGGACGGATGTTATTTTTGGATACTGATACGGTTTTTCCCTGCGAATCAGATGTTTTATCGAATCTAGATACGGATTTGGACTCGGATTTTTTTACTATTCGGATGCTTCATCGGATGCGAATATATCCGAATCCACATCCGTATCCGCCGGATTTGGATTTAGTATTGTAGACATCCGTCGGATGAGGATTCGGATAACAGTTTTGCTAATTGGATTTGGATACGGTTATAATGCATCCGAAACGGATATTATCCATTTACACCCCTATATACAACAGACATCACTTGCATACTAAGTTCCTACCCTCTAGCATGCATCTCATACATACAAACAACATACATCACGTGCATGTTAAATTCCTACTACTTCTAGCATGCATCTCACACATACAAATAGCATACATCACATGCATATTAAAGTAAAAATAAACGTGACGAAAATAACTGTTAACATTGGCGTTATAAAAATTTATATCATCATGGAATGAATATGCCAAGCCATGAACCTAACTGAAAGGCCATCAATGTAGACAACTTTTTCTCGACAAACTTTAGTGAAAAACAAGGATTGCAGTGTGCTGCTGTATATCTGATTTGAAATGCCTGTGCCGAAACCAGTTAGACTGAAGCTCTGCCTTGAACCAAAAGGGAATTGAGTCTTTTATATCCCAATGAGTTAAAATGATTTGAGTTGTAAATGTCAATTATGAAGAACTAAAATATTTTTAATTTGATATTTTAAATCCGAGATTGACCAATGGTAAGAATTTGTGAAAATCACATATTTACAATATCTGAAGCAAACCCCACAAAGAAGATTCGTTTGAGTTCCGGAATCATCAATTTTTGGCGGGAACATCTTCAAGATTTGTTTTGCTTTTATATATTATTGACAGATAGATTCCTTTGAATGTGTAGCATGGAGTGGTAGTATCACAAATGGAGACATAAGTGATTGTTCCTTATTTTAAAAATACTTTTTTTCCCTTTAATGCAGTTAACGAATCCCATGGTGCCTACATTTATCAGGATAGTTTTGCTGCATCTAAGACTTGATTGAAGTTCAATATGGAGAGTGGGGGCGCTAAACAATCAAACCAGCTGCTAGAAAATGTGTGCTTTTTCATCCGAAAGTGCATCGTTTTATTGCTTTCCACTGGTCCAGTACCTAGTCACATTGCATTTATAATGGATGGAAATCGAAGATATGCAAAGAAGCTAAGTTTGGAAGAGGGACAAGGGCATAGGGCTGGGCATTCTGCTCTCATGAGCATGTTAAAATATTGTTATGAATTTGGTGTGAAGTATGTAACTATTTATGCCTTCAGTATTGATAACTTCAAAAGGAGCCCCGAAGAAGTTGGATCCCTCATGCACTTGATGCAGGAAAAGATTGAAGAATTGATTAAAGAGGAGACCAACGTGAACCGTTATGGAATTCGAGTATACTTTAAAGGGAACTTAGACCTTTTGAGTGGCTCTGTAAGATCGGCAGCAGAGAGGGCTATGGTAGCAACTGCTAGTAACTCGAAAGCCACTCTATCGATTTGTGTTGCATACACATCAACAGATGAGATCGTTCATGCGGTTGAGCAATCATGCGAAGAGAAATGGTACAGAATCAATGGGAAATCCCTAAATTCGTCACAAAATTATAAACACTTGAATGGAAATGATCAGGTTGACAGTCTTATAGCTATGACAGATGTTGATAGGAACATGTACATGGCTGATGTTCCTGATCCTGATATCATAATACGTGCTTCTGGCGAAACTCGGTTGAGCAATTTCCTACTGTGGCAGAGTGCAAAATCCCTTCTCTACTCTCCTGAACCACTTTGGCCAGAGATTGGTTTCCGGCATCTGGTGTGTGCAATTTTGAATTTCCAAAGGAATGCCGGATACCTTAAAGACGCAAAAGAGAAAGAAACGTAATTCAAAGATGCAAATCTGGGTTCAGACTTGTTATTTGTAGACCACACAGAAATGGGTGTTAGATATAATAAGGTGTAGGATTGGTTCTTTTAGATCATGTTGTATCAATGTGTTTTTTATATTCTTTTTTTTTTATTTTGTTTATTGCTTTGGGTGCCTGATCACCATCTTTTGATCTGCCTTGCAAGCTCGGGAAATTGATTGGCCTTATTTCTTAAGTGCAGATAGTAATTCATGGTCTTTTTTATTTGAATCGAGCTATGGAGTATAATGTAAATTATTGTTAGAAAAGTTTTGGTTTCTAATAGTCTTGTTGGTCAGAAACCAACAAAACTATTAAATGACCAAATTTTAATTAACTCGTCAAAAACAAGTCAAACCTGATTTGACCAGTTTGTTGAACTAAAGTTTTTTTCCTTTTCAAAACCATGTATTTTAATATGAAATACGTAGTATAATGTGATCAAAATAATGTTATACCCTCTGTCCCAAAATATTTGTAACACTTGCTTTTTCAGTAATCGTGAGAACTTTTGTTTATTTCTACGTTTTTATTGGTTATTTGATAAAATAAAATATTCTTGACACCTCTTATTTCGAAAAACTTTTCATGTAGTCTTTTGATACGTGAATTTTATTTTTTATTTCTATACCAATATGTAAATAAAATAAATTGAAAAAACTTTATATTTTGCCTCGGTAATAAAAGTGTGACAAATATTTAGGGACGGAGGAAGTAATATTATTTTTTTTTCTTATTACTCTTTAGAACTCATTCTCTTTATCTGATTTGATTGACTTCGATTTGGAATTTACTAAGGCTTGATTTGATTTTAGTTAAATTTAAAGTTATTTTTATATGATTTGAAAAGAATGAAATGTCCTTAGATATAAGTGAAATATCAAAGTACCAAAATAAAAATGTCAACATTTTTATTCTCTAAATTGGTGTTTGGCGGTATGAATGGTGGTAAACGGACTATGATATACGGAGTAATAGTGTGAATAATAATAATAATAATAATAATAATAATAATAATAATAATAATAATAATAATAATAATAATAATAATAATAATAATAATAATAATAATAATAATAATAATAATAATATAAAGATCATAGTGTGGTGGTAGACCGCCAGCAGTGATTACACCGACGACCGAAATACTTAAATGTTTGAATCCCAAGTTGAACTTACTTGTACTTGAAGTAATTTGAATCCGAAGGAACTAAAGTGGAACTCGATTGGGCAGCTTGTTTGTGAACTCTACAACTCAACATCAGTATAACTATGGTAGTTCAAAGATGCAGCACCACATTGGGAGCACGCACACATTCATTTGATGCGTTAGAAGACATATGGAGTGTTTCTTTGTGCGGATAATTATTAGCTTATTACTGAGAAGCAATTTTTAACTTATAAGTTGATTATAAGTTAAATATTCCTTAATAAATGTAAAATGATTCAAATAATAAATAAACCATTTTGGAAATATTCATAAATAGTGAGAAATAATTTTGTAAATGATTTAGTAAAAAAAATTCGGAATAAACTAATTTAAAAATAAGTAAGCAAGGCATACTTATTTTTTCTAACTCGTAAGCACAAAGAAACATGTCATCAGCTAACTTATATAGGTTAGAAATAACTCATAAGCAGTTTTATTCAGCAAATAAATACAAAGAAAAACCCACTTTACTCATTTCTCTATTTGATCCCACTTGGTCATTACTTTCACAGTTAGACCAGTTGTTCTGCTGGTACACACCAAGAATCGAGCTCTTTGACCATGGATCCTTATTGTGCCTAGCCAAGAATGTTAAAAAGAAAAACTGAAAACAGCATAATCTTCTTCCTATAAAAGTGAAAACCAACACAATGACACTGAGCAATTTGTAGTCAAACACTTCAAAACCAGCCAATATCAAGATATTGGAAATATGGCCTTAAATTCTATCTTCCATTGAAACCTTGAAATACATTATAGTGCATAACTGAATGAACACTGCTCTATGCCGTAGGGGAGAGCTGTCTCAATTTGGCTTGTAAGACAGCACCAGCTTCGTCAGAAATGGTTTTCTTCTTCGCTGCCACCTGCCATTGAACGGAACTGCTCGTAACTACTCAAATCAAAATATGCAATGCGTAGAGGGAATGTTTGGCAAGGACCCTTTGGGTTAAGGGACAAGTATTAGAAGTGTTTGGTGAAGAGCTTTTTGGTCCCGTTGGAACCGATGTTTTTTGAGTTAAGGTTTGGTGGCCAACTATTTGATGTGTTTGCTAACAGTTTTTGGGTCTCTTGGAGCTAGACATGGCAAAGTTAAACACACCGCCACTCGCTCTTTTAAACCACTCCTTCCATCTCCCTTTGATCTTCCTATTTTCCTTTTCAAACTGTCCCTAAAAATTCTTTTATATATAAAATCTCAAGCATAGATTTTTCTCCCTCAAGCGCATAACATTGGAAGGGGACAGAAATATATATTTTTTGTTCAACTAGATTTATGAAATTGAACCTGTTTGTAAAAACATTGTTTGTAACTTTTTCCTTTTCCTTTTCTGGAGGAACATTGCGTGAAAAATTGAGCATTTTTATGTAATATGAATCAGTTTTGGGACAAAGATTTTTGGAAGAATGCCCTTTGGGGGGGGGGGTGGAGCAAAAAAGGTGCAGTATAGACAATGTACCATCTACGAGATACAAGCACACATGCAATACAGTTCAAAATGATTAGGGGAAGGGGGCGAAGAGAAAGGGGAGGAAGAGGAACAATTTTCCCCGAGCCCACATGGGTACACCAATTGTCCCCATAGTCCCATGACTTCAATAACATACCAAATGGGAAACGGTTTGAACAAACACATCAATATTTTAGAACTAGATAAGTGTCTATCATAGAGATCAATTTTTTATACACTAGACAGAGTTTCAGCATCGACAAGCGGAGCAGATGAATCAAGTTGATTTGTATACCAACAACTGCAGGCCATATGATGGGGCTTTGCAGATGATTCAAGTTGGTGGGCCATTTCCACAATCTGTGACAGCCCATAGACATGGAAACAGTTCATCCTTAACGGGCCTCTATTCCATAGAAATCCCCCCTCTGGGCCCAATGCCCATTGGTTTCCATGGCTGGACAGCTCCTCCAATCACAAACACTGGCAGTCCAGGATCCTTCCTTATACACCTTAGGTGTATTCCATCCAATTTGGTGCCTTCTCAATCTCAACAAAGCAAATCTTTGAGTTATATACCATCTGGTCCTCCAGGCTTCTCTAAATCCCTAAATTATGTGAATCAAGTGTCTTCACAGCCATGTTTGGGAAGAACATACAAAGACTATATGCCTTCTGAATTCCCAATGTTCTTTCAACCATATGTAAACAGTATCTCTGGGCAAAGCCCCTCCTCCACATGCCCCAGCATCTGAACACATATATGGGGTAAACCATATTGAGAATCCAATGTACCCTAGATCTAGGCAGATTTTATAACAATATATTTCCCATCAGACGCAGGCAAGGGGTAAATATCATCTGCAAAGCCCCACCATAAGGCCAGGGATACAAATCGACTCGATTCATCTGCTCCACTTGTATGTCCAGACACTGATAGGGGAAAGAATATGTTTATCCAAGACGTCTTAGACAACAAATATACTTTTATGATTTGGCTTCAATAGTATTGCAAACATGCATATTCTGCCAAAACAAAAAAGATGGTGGTTAGGACTTACATCAAGAAGCTGGTCATAATTGGACTGTAGAAGGTTTATTTTACGTTCACAGTAGTCCTTCCCTTCTGCCATAGTTTTCTACAAAAAATGGGGAAAGAAACATGATAACAACCAAATAACAAATACATGTTAGATTTTTTTTTCCAGGATTTGGTAAACAAAACAAAGATAAAGAAAATTTGTGCTTCATCTTTATATGAAAATAAGAAGGGTGCAGACAGTATTGTCCCGTACTGCCGTTCTTATCTAGAGAAATAACATTCATACATGTGTAATACAGTTCACTCCATAATTCTTAAACTGTCAAAACATAGTGCCAGGTCTCCACTGGAATCTAAGCAGACATACTGCATAGGGTAGTTATATACAGAAGCTTCATCTAACTGGTACCAATATGATTTTACCACATTTTCTTTCCTTTTTTTAGAAAAAAGAATATGTGGTCGAAAATACTTCTCTCCTCTAAATAAATTTTAACCATTCACTTTTCCCTATCCAACATCTTTTCAGTATCTTTTAAACACTTCTCTTAATCTCCGTGAAGCCCACATTGGAAATCCTGTTTGGGACGGAGGAAATCCGGTGACGTCAAATTTGAAGATACCCCTTGAGTGTGCAGAAATTTTGAAAAGGCTGTTGGAGTTGAAAGTAATGGTATTTAGCCTTCTAGGGTGTGATAGCCATACATTGCAAGAGTACTCGCCTGATTTATGTTATGTTCGATGCTTTACTTATATTCGTGGAACTAAAAATAAGATTGTAGATTTGGATATGTGAGCCCATAACATGCCATTTTTTCAGCTATTTGAATGCTTTCATGTGTTGAGTAATAATGGCTAAAGTTGGAGCAAAAGTAGTAGAAAAAAAGTCAAACCAAAGTAAGAGTTCCAAATTGCAATCACCTCAAAGAGTGTTTGGTGTTGTCCCTCACCTCACATGTGTTGAGTGATAACAGATAAAGTTGGAGCAAAAACAACATAGAAAAACAAAGAGTTTCAAATTGCAGTCATCCCATAAACTATTTGGTGTTGTCCATCACCTCACCTGTTGTGTTTCAAAATTCTTCAAAGTCACAAATATATGTCGTCTTGTTTCTCAAAATTTTTGTTCCATCCATTTTTTTCGGCATCCAAAATCTTATAAGATGTTGTTATGTCTCACTTCATCTTGAAATTTATTACATAGAGACACTTATTTCCACCCGCATCTTTTTTGTTGATCATAGGTATAAAGCTACATTCCTCGGCAAGTTGTTTATGTAAGCTTTTTCCATTTTCTTTCATCCATTTCCATCCTGATCCTTTGCCTTCTTACTTTGGAGCTTCTTTGTCTGAAACACAAC